AAGGAGTAGGGAAAGGAAAAGGGAAAGGAGGAAGGGGAGGGAGAGGGGGCCAAGATGGCTTACTGGGTAAAAATTCCTTGGTGCCAAGCCTCATAACCTGAGTATGGCTCCCTGGGACCCACACAGTGGAAGGAGAGAACCAGCTCCTACAAGTTGTCCTCTAACTTCCACACATGCACCATGAAATGGCTAGGCCAGTGCTAAAGGTTTCTTTTTTAAGATTTATTTTCATTTATCACACATACACACACACACACACACACACACACACACACACACACGAGAGAGAGAGAGAGAGAGAGAGAGAGAGAGAGAGAGAGAGAGAGAGAGAGAGAGAGAGAGAGAGAGAGAGAGAGAGAGAGAGAGAGAGAGAGAGAGAGAGAGAGAGAGAGAGAGAGAGAGAGAGAGAGAGAGAGAGAGAGAGAGAGAGAGAGAGAGAGAGAGAGAGAGAGAGAGAGAGAGAGAGAGAGAGAGAGAGAGAGAGAGAGAGAGAGAGAGAGAGAGAGAGAGAGAGAGAGAGAGAGAGAGAGAGAGAGAGAGAGAGAGAGAGAGAGAGAGAGAGAGAGAGAGAGAGAGAGAGAGAGAGAGAGAGAGAGAGAGCAAGAGAGAATGTGCAGGTTGAGTCCAGGTATCTGGAGGCAGAGGGTGTCAGATTCCCTACAGCTGGAGTTACAGACAGTTGAGTTGTCTGACAAGAGTCCTAGGAACCAAATTCAATCACCTGGAATAGCAGTATGTGTTATTAATGGCTGAGTCATCCCTCCAGCCCTACTTACCTCCTTTCTGTAAACAGAAACAATGCTAAAAACACAAATTCTAAAATCATGAATATAATCGGGGCTGGAGAGATGGCTCAACAGTTAAGAGTACTGGCCACTCTTACAGACGACCCAGGTTCGATTCCCAGCACCCATAACTCCAGGACCAAGGTGTGCTTAGGGCCTCATGAGTGCTCAACAAGCACTCTGTCACCAAGCTAGGCTCCCAATCCCCATGAATATTTTTTTCTGTCTGGAGAATGACAAATTACTGGAGCAGTAAATACCAACACAGTTATGAGAATCTATAAGAATTATTAATGATAGATACTAAAGAATAAACAATACAATTTTTTTAGTAAATAAAATAAGGTTACTCATTTTCTATTTTCTATAGGAATTCACTTTTTTAAAGCAGACATATTCATATTAATAAAATTTACAAAGAAAATACAACACATTAAAAAATATATCTAGTCAATAAATTACCCTCTTCTAACCTCCTTGAGCATAGCACGACACAGGTGCACTTATATGCACTTATATGCATGTAGGCAATACACTCATACACATAAAATAAAAATAATTTTTAAGGAAGACTTAGAATAGAATAGAACAGCACATACCTCAAACTGTGTTACAGCAGCATAGCGTACCTCTCCAGTAGGGGTAGTATATTTACTTCTATAGAAACCTTTCATTTTGTCATTCAGTTCGCCAACAAAATCTATCTTTAAGGTTCCTGTACCTGTGATTGGGGATAAATAAAAACTTTAACAGAGATGTTAATGAATATAAGTATCAAAAATACATCCCCAAGACATATCTTCAATGGCTATTTACAATGTTCAAAACATACTTTCCTTTCTCAAATAGTCCTGGCACTGTAGATGACCCTCTATTGACTGCTCAGAAAGTAGTTCCATTAAGCCTCAGATTACCAATACATGAAGAACAGGAATGGAAATATTTACTATTAAATGTGTGACAAATGCAGTTGTGCATGGGGCAATTTATGAATAAAGCCAAGTTCCAAGCATGGTGGGACACGCCTTTATTCTCAGCACTTGGGGGGCAGAGGCAGGAGGATCTCGGTGAGTTCGAGACCAGCCTGCTCTACACAATGAGTTTCAGGCCAGCTGGGGCTAAACAGCAAGATCCTGTCTCAAAAGAAAAAAAAGAAAAAAGAAAAGAGAGGGGAGGGGAGGGGAGAAGATAAGAGAAGAGAAAAGGAAAAGAAAAGAAAGCTGAAAGTTGGGTCCTGATTTTTCAGATGAGGAAACTGAGGAAAAATAACTTGCCAAAGGCCACACAACTAATAAGCAGGAAGAATTCATGCTGTCTGCCAGTTATATCATGTTAGTCTTTTTAGATAACTTCATGTATCTTAGAAAAATGTAGCCAATTACTCTTTTATTAATGACACACACTATTGCTTTAATCCAAATAGAACACTGTAAGAAACTAGAGAGAAAAGCAATGATTTGATCAAGTAAAGGGTTTTAAATAAACTCTTAAAGTCACCTCAATCATCTGAACATTGATACTAAAGAAATATATCTAGTCAATAAATTACTAAATACAAACACATACAACATAAATATTTGTCCTATTGTTTAAAAGCAAAACCAATTCAGACAAAATGTGTTTTTTGCCTATTTGTACTACTTTTGCTTATATGTACTATTTTTTATCTGTTTTTTGTTTGTTTGTTTGTTTCTTTGAGACAGGATCTCATTCTGTAGCCCTTGCTAGCCAGAATAACTATGTAGACCAGGCTAGTCTCAATCTTACAGAGATCCACCTGCCTCTGCCTGTCAGGTGCTGGGATTAAAGATGTGTATCACTACAACCAATTCTCTGTGTTCTATTTTTAGTAACAAAATAAAAATAATTATTACCTAGTAGTCACCTGCTAAATTCAGATGCAATGCAGAACAAAAACCTCATTCTACATTTTACAAATCAAGTTATACACATATACACACAACTTAGAAAAATGTTGACTTTGGACCTGATCCTTTTGAAGTGCCTGTTTATAAGATCTAGAACATGTGAGGCTAACAAATCAAAGAAACTAGCCAATCACACAAAGCTTTCATATCCTAATGTTTCAAACTATATCTTGAAATGTTATAGAGCAATGAACTTGACATTGATCAATGCTCTTCACTTTTTTTCCCTTGACATCTTTTTGAATGATCTTAAAGTTGAATTTTCATCCTCTAAAACTGATTTGCTCTTGGAAAGGTCCAAAGTCACAAGGTGTGCAAGTCTACACATTAGGCAAATGGCAAAAGGCACACAGTTTCTACACAAAAACTTGTGTGGCTATGATGTAATTAAACTGATTTTCTTATGTATCACAAACAGGTCCTGAAAGCACTTTAAGAAAAAAATTCCAAACTTTTGTAGCAAAGTCACCACTAAAATAAGTGTCACATTCTTAAAATAATCATGTTAGAAAACAACAGTAACAGTTTCACTGAAGCTCAGTTGAACAGACATCTGTGGTCCTTCTTTAGATATCAGACACTTTGAGTATCTCAAAGGACAATGAGTATTGTATACAGTGTTAAGGGTGAGCTTAGGGCCTCATGAGTGCTCAACAGGCACTCTGTCACCAAGCTAGACTCCCAATCCCCATGAATATTTTTTCTTTCTGGAGAATGACAAATTACTGGAGCAGTAAATACCAACACAGTTATGAGAATCTATAAGAATTTTTAATGATGGATACTAAAGAATAAACAATACAATTTTTTTAGTAAATAAAATACGGTTACTCATTTTCTATTTTCTATAGGAATTCACTTTTTTTAAAGCAGATGTATTCATATTAATAAAATTTACAAAGAAAATACAACACATTTTAAAAAAATGACCTTGGATTGGAATTGTTTGATGGAATTTTGTTATAATTTCACAGATGAAATTGGCAGTCTGTTTTCAGTAACTCAACTGTTAAGATTTTTAACATAATTCATATTTCATAGTAAATCTACTTTCAACTACTTGGAACAAAAGTAGATTTAAAACTCATAACTAAATAAGAAAGGCTGCTTACAGTTTTTCTCGGTTTTAAATCTCCAAGGCCATAAAACCATAACAAGATACTGACAGTGACCACTTCCAAAAAGGGGCTTACTAAACAAAATACAGAGTATTGGAAAGGATAATTACCTGAAATTCAAACAAAACACATGTTAAAGTTTTTTAAAAATCATTAAAAAATTTAACTAGTATCACATTATACAATACTAATCAAAGTATTTACTATTAATATAGTAGAATTTTAGGGTGCATAGAAAAAAAGGACTTTTGACAAATTTTACTTATCAAATTAATACCACGATGAACTGGTTGCTGTTAGTGTAATTTTATACCTATTCACATATAACTACAGTGTTTCCTGAAATCAGATACTTTTATTTCAATATCCAATTTACTTATGTTTGAGTGATAAATTTTTTAAAATATAGTAAGTTGATTTATAAATTTAACAACTAAAATCACAAAATCCATCAAAAACAAATGTTGAAAGTTTAGGAGATTATAATAATTATTTCTAAACCTACAGCAGATCTTGAAACTATTAATTTTGAAGAGACTAAAAGTTATTAAAGACATTTTAGGATATGCTCAATATTCACTGTATTAACACCTAAGACCACTTCTGCAATCCTTTAAAATCTGAAAAGATAAAAGACTTTATTTTGCAGGGTATGGTGGTGCACGCCTTTAATCCCTGCACTTGGGAGGCAGAGGCAGGCAGATCTCTGTGAGTTCAAGGCCAGCCTGGTCTACATAGTGAGTTCCAGGCCAGGTGGGGCTACAGGGAGACCCTGTCTCAAAAAGACCAAAAAAAAAACAAAAAAAAAAAACCCTACAAATAACTAAAAATATCAAACACTATGACGATAAGTGTTTATCATCTTATCATCGCATACAAAGCACAACCATGGTACTTTGACTGACTTGTTCCTACTATTATTTAAAACAGCTTTGACATTTGTCATGTGTGCTATGAATACATCGCAAAGCAGCTTAGAGGGTGTGGTGGCAAAGACATGCAACCTCGGCTACCTTGAGAAGCTGGTGCAGGAGAACTGAATGATCAAGGCCTACCTGGGCAACATAGTAAGATCAAGTCTTGAAATAAAACTTTCTAAAAAGAGGTTAGAGCTGGGTATGCTAGTGGATGCCTTTAATCTAAGTACTCTGGAGGCAGAGGCAGGTGGATCTCTGTGAGAGAGAAGCCAGCCTGGCCTACATAGTGAGTTCTGGGCCAGCTGAGGCTACAGGGAGACCCTGTCTCAAACCAAATTAAACAAAATAAAAAAAGAGGTTCGGGGTTTAGTTCAGTAATGACATGCCTAATGTACACACAGGACCTCAAGTTCAATCCCTAACACAGGAAAAAATGATGCAGCTCTAATTTAATGGGGATAATAAATGACGTGTATGTGTGTGTGTGCATGTGTGTGTGCGCGCGCGTGCGTGCGTGCGCTTTTGTGTATGTACACATATTTAAGGAGCAAAGAAAAAAGGTGCAAAATATTACATATACCATGTCTATGTTATAAAAAAAAAAGTATATATAGGTAGCCAGGCATTGTGGCACACACCTTTAATCCCAGCATTCCGGGGACAGAGGCAGGCATATCTGTGAGGCCAACCTGGTTTACTAGCAAATTCCAGACCAGACAAGGCTAAAGGAAGACCCTATCTGAAAAGAAATTAAAAGGTATACATAGGAGATATATATGTAGGACCAAGCTGGCCTCAATTTCAGAGATTTGCCTGCCTCTACTTCCAGAGTGCTGGAATTAAAAGCATGTACCACTATGTTTGGCTTATTTTCTTTATATCAAAATAACAGTTCATAGTCTAAAGGTGCTATAGTACTCTCAGCTTACCTGTAAGCTGCAGGTCCTGGCAGGTCCAGGACCTTAACTCCTCACACTCTGCTGCCAAGAGGCCAATGACTTCTCAATATTAAATACTAAATACTTGCTTAGATAGTATTACTGTCTTCATTTTTCAATTTTAAACATTATTTTACACATTTTTACAGGAATTAGTTTTCTAACACCATGCAAATAGGAAATCCACGCCCCGCCGCCTTACTACACTGCCCTTATTGGCCCAGAATTCTCAATGTAGACTAGGCTGTCCTTGAACTCCTAAGAACCATCTGCCTCTGCCTCCCAATGCTGGGATTAAAGGCATGCCCAGCTAAAAATGTCTTGTATTAAATTTATTATTTAAATTATTAAATTTAAATTACTGTGTATGTGAGGAAAGCACACACATCATAGCATGCATAGGGAGATCAGTAGACAATTTTGGGGAATTAGTGTTCTCCTTCCACTATGAGATGGCAAGACTGAATTCAGGTCATTAGGCTTGTGAGCACATTGACAATGTTTTTATCCACTGAGCCATCTTGCTGGCTCTGAAAATACCTTTATTTTGCTCTCACACAAATTCATAGTTTGATTAAACATAAAAATCTAAGTTTAAAATCTGGTTCACTTAATATTTTAAATAATCACAGGTCATTAGAGTGTAGTTTCCATTGTTCCTGATAAAAAAAAAAAACTCTAGTGATAGGGGCTGAGGATGTAGCTGAGTTAGTAGAATGCTTACTTAGCAAGAACATGCACACATATATACATATAAAACTGTTTTAAAAAGACAAAAAAATTGGAAACCACAAAATAAGGTAAAAATAAGTATTTAAAAACACCAACTGTGTTAACATTCAGACATAACCTAGTCATCTACAGGGGAAGTATCGGGAAAATGTTGATACAGGGTCTCAAAGCTGGCCTTGAACCTCTAGCCTTCCTGTCTCTAATTCCTAAATCTGGGTTACAGGTGTGAGCCATTATACCCACCTAAGTATCATTTCATTTGTACTATTTTAGAGACAGGATTCATCAACCTGAATATGTAATTTTATATTCTGCTTTTTCAATTTTATAATAAGCACTTTATATAATGTTAGTAAGAATATAAACCTTTACTACTAAATATATTTCACTATATTGATAAATCATAATTAGTTTAAAAATACGTTTACTCTACTTTTTAAAATTATTTCATTTATCATGTAGTAGCCTGTGGAGGTCAGAAGAGGGCATCAGATCCCCTGGAAATGGAATTACAGATGGTTGTTACCTGCCATGTGGATGCCAGGAATTGTACCCCAGTCCTCTGGAAAAGCAGCCAGTGCTCTTAAGCACTGAGTCATCTCTCTAGTCCAATTCTAATTTTTTGAAAAGATTAGATACAACATATCTCACTAAGACATTTTTGGATATAGAATGTATTTGGTTACAACTTTTCCTTAGAATATATTCATGCTAGCAGAACTGTGAGGTCAAAAGTCAGCTCTTGGAATATACTAATAGAATGGTTTTCAAAATAATTACATGGATTTATTTCCAAAGAGTATTATGAAGGCATTTGTATATAATTAAGCAGTTTAGGATTTATTTTATTTTTATTTATGGGTATATGAATGACTGTAGAGGCCAGAAGGTGTCAGATCCCCTAGAACTGGAGTTTCAGGTGGTTCACCTGACATGAGTGCTGGGAACGAACTGGGAGTCTCTGCAAAAGTAGCTCGTAACTGCTAAGCCATCTCTCTAGCCCCTATCAAGAAATTTTTCACCTTCAGCATACATGACAAGCAAAAATTGGTTCAGTATTACAATAACTTTTTTTGATAGCTCTCATTACTAGGAAGCTGAATATCTTTTCACATGTCTAATAGTTACTCGCATTTTCTTCATTATGAATTATCTGTTCCTTTCCATTTATTCATTTATCAAGTTCCTAAGGCTTTACTAATTGATTTGCATGTAATTTCTTTTTCTTCTAGTATATTAAGTTCAGAAGGTCTTCTCTTTTCTTTTCCCTGTTTCTTTGTGTTTTTATGTCAAATAATAATACATACCAACAAATCTTCCTTCCATGCCCTCACTACATAATCTACCTCTGATGGTACATAAAAATCATGTGTGGAGCATTCTCCTCAGAGAAGAAAACTTAATCAGTACAAGATGAAGTGAGATAAAAGCATTTCTTAAAATACCAAAGCTGACTAATGGGACAGGATCTGTGTATAGTGAGAGGCTTTAGTGGATCTAAATGACTCTGACCAGAGTGTAAAATGTGTCTGTAGAGTAACAGAACACCCTACAAGAGATACAAAAAAGACCAAACAGGGTCTGCAGAGATAGCACAAGCGGTTAAGAACACTGACTGTTCTTGCAGAAGATCCGGGTTCAAATTCCAGCACTCACATGGCAGCTAACAACTGTCTGTAACTCCAGTTCCAGGGGATCTGACAGTCTCTTGTGTCCTCCGCGGGCATTGCACAACATGGGTACACACAAAATAAAAATAATAAAGAGATATTTGTTTAAAAAAAAAAAAGACCAAACAGAAGAAATGGTCTGTTTGGGTTACTCAAAGACAAATGTGGCAAGATTTATGTCAAGCCCAAATTCCCAAAGAAAAAATTGATAGAAAACCAAATTCAGTACTAAGGAGTTTCTGGAAGGCTTTAAAACCAGAAGAACAGTTTACAAAAGGCATTCAAAGGATTAAAAACTGTCCCAGGGGTGGTTAAGGTTCCCCAAAGATTAAAAAAGGTGCATTCCTCTCCTTAAAAAAAAGGCTATGCTAGGGGTGGAGGCAGTTTTTCCCACCACAACCTCCCCCAACAGCCAGGTATGGTTAATGGAGAGACAACAGATATGGCTACAGTCAGGAAGCAGACCCAGGGCCTGCCTGACTCAGGAAACCAACAGGTAGAGTGGGGACAAGAGAACCCCCCTGCCTTCTTAGCCGGGTACAGGGTTAGGCAACTGGAGCCAGCACCTGTAAGTGTATCAAGGATAAAAGACTACAAAGAAACTCCATGTAAGATCCTCAGAATGTGGAATGACTCTGAAGGGATAACTAAAGATAGTAAAGAAGTAGCCAAATTAATGCCTCTTACCATACTATGGTACCTAACAAAAGATCTATGGAGAAAGACATTAATACAAATAGATAAAACCTTTCCATGCTGTGTTAGACTTTGTCTACGACCAATTTAATATATGATGTTAACTTTCGAGTGTTTTACAGATGTGAAACACATTTGAAAGATACCTGAAGAAACAAAGGCCAGCTATAGCCGTAAGATTCTTGGGAGTTTTATGGTTGGGTAAGATAAAAACAGAGGCTCCCCAAACTATACAACTGTTAAGAAAAACTACAATACTAGGAATGGGTTACCCCCTATGAGCTGTTGGTCAGAGAGAGATCCAAGAGGTCCTCAAATTAACCAAGGCTATTGCCACTAATGTTGGTTGTATGCTACAAAGGTCAGAAAGGCCATGTTGCTGAAGACACTGCATGATGTGAGCACAGGAGAAGAGATGGAGCTGAGACTAAACCAAAAACTTCATGCCACTGGATGGATGGCTTTCCTAGTGCCAGAAGGCACTATGCAGATGGTTGGGGAAGAAAGGATCCCCTATGATTCTACTCAGCAATGGACACCGCATGCTGCACACTATGGACATGCCAAGCAATGCCTGCAAGTGCAATAATGGCTTGACTAACATATGTACAACTGACAAATTTCTAATTAGATAAAGCCTGCTCTTAGGGGTGGAACACACATCTGGTGCTGTAGACCAGGCCAAACCCCTGTGTCAGGGAAGGCCACACAGGTGGAGAAGCTGTTGTAAGTATACTGTTTTATGAATACAGTACACCTACCTACTGGGATATCTTCTAGACATTTGTTTTTACATTCATGTTTGTTTAGGTGTGTCTACTTCCATTGTCTTCATAGTAGAGGAAACACCACTGGGATAGAACAGCCATGTCTTGAAGACAGATGATGAGAGGTTCAAGAGATCACTATCTCGCCATGATACAAGAGAGATTGCTCTGCACCGTCACCCCCTCCAGGGCTCAGGGAAATCATGGAAGAAATGGAGGAAAATTTGTAAGAGCCAGAGGAAACGGGTGGAGTGTAGCCCAGAAATTACTCATTCCTCTGAAAAGTGGGAGTGATTGAGGAGTGAGCACAGGGCACTCTGGGAAGGAGGGGTGGAGCCAGCCAAGCCACTGCGGAGAGTTAGCCAATCCACTGTGACAGACCGTGGGGCAGTTTCTTTGTAAGTCATTCCCTCCTGGTGTCATATAAAACAGAACAAAACCCAATCTGAAAAAAAAAAAATATTGAAGCTGAGGGGCTAGAGAAATGGCTCAGAGGTTAAGAGCACTGGCTGCTCTTGCAGAGAACCCAAGTTCACTTCTCCACACATGCATGGCAGCTAACAACCATCTGTAACTCCAGTTCAGGGGGCTCCAATGCCCTCTTCTGATCTCTGCGGGCACTGCAGGAATGAGTGCACTTACATACATGCAATGCGCTCATACACATAAAATTTTTAAAAAATAAAATATTTTTTAAAAATTTAAGCTGAAAAGCAATTTGCTTTATTATACAGTAAATGATCCTTAGGTTTTGGTATAGCTTTTTTGTTGCTTAAGAAGCACATGAAGAGACAGGAATTACAAACTGTTCTTTCCATAACCCAGAATTCTTAGGGGGGGGAAGCTCTTTCTTAATACTTTAATAAACAAATGAGAGAAGAAATGGCAGATAATATATTTCCCTGGAAGACATAAAATGCCACTATTATCATAGAATGACAGAAAAGTCATGTCTCCTTACCTGTTTGGAGCGTACTAGGAAATGACAAGGTGACTTTTTCATCTTCATTCTGGTAGTTAAATCCTGTAGCATGTATTTCTGGAAAGAGAGGGAAAATTTACCAATCTGAGTAAACTGAAAAAAAAAATCTAGACTATAGCAGTTAACACCTTTTAAAAAAACATTGTATTCTTTTGTTGTATGTATATGAGTGCATTGCCTGTGTGTAAGTGCACCTGTGTTGTGCAACGCCCACAGAAGTTAGAAGAGGAACTGGATCAATGCCCACAAAAGTCAGAAGAGGCTCCACTGGAACTGAAGTTACAGACTGTTGTTAGCCACCATGTGAGTGCTGGAAATTGAACCCAGGTCCTCAGGAAGAATAGCAAGTACTCTTAACTGCCATCTCTCCAGCCCTGTAGTTAACTTTTTATTTTATTATTTATTTGTCTTTTTGAAGCAGGGTCTCCCTGTAGCTTTATTTATTTATTTTATTTATTTATTTATTTATTTTTCTTTTTGAAACAGGGTCTCCCTGTAGCCCCAGCTGTCCTGGAACTCACTATGTATACCAGGTTGGCCTTGAACTCACAGAGATCTGCCTGCCTCTGCCTCCCAAGTGCTGGGACTATAGGCATGCACCACCATGCCCGGCTTTTCTTTCTTTTTATTTTATTTTATCTTATTTATTTTATTATTTTATATTACTTCATTTTATTTTATTTTATTTATTTTTTGGTCTTTTTGAGACAGGGTCTCCCTGTAGCCCCAGCTGGCCTGGAACTCACTATGTAGAATAGGCTGGACTTGAACTCACAGAGAGCAACCTGCCTCTGCCTGGGATTAAAGGTGTGCACTATCATGCCCAGCCAAATGAAATGTTCTTAATTTAGTAAGTCAAGTTTCAATAACAAGTACAATTCAAATTAACCTATTTTAAGATACATGACCTAGTTAAACATGCTTCTTAAAAATAACTGCACACAGGCTAGTGAGATAGCTCACTTGGTAAAGGTGCTTGCTGTGCAGGCCTGGTGATCTTAGTTAAAAATCTCCAGAACCACTGGGCATGGTAGCGCACATCATTGCCAGGCCTTTGATCCCAGCACTCAGAAGGCAGAGGCAGGCAGATTTCTGTGAAACTGAGGTCAGCCTGGTCTAAATAGTGAGTTCCAGGCCAGTGGGGCTACAGGGAGACACTCTCTCAAAAAACAAAAAAAAACAAAAAAATTTCCCCAGAACCCACATAAAGACAGAGGGGAGGCTGGGCGTGGTGGCGCACACCTTTAATCCCAGCACTTGGGAGGCAGAGGCAGGCGGATCTCTATGAGTTCAAGGCCAGCCTGGTCTACGTAATGAGTTCCAGGACAGCTAGGGCTACAGGGAGACCCTGTCTCAAAAAGACCAAAAAAATAAAAAATAAAAAAAATAAGATAGCGGGGAGAACCAACTCCAAAAAGTTGTCTTCTGAACTCTAATACACTGTGGCACTTAGGCCATGGCACATGTACCCACAAACTAGTATCATGATCACACACATACAAAATAAAAATTTAAAAATAGTAACTACATTTTGTTTTTTAGTATTTGTTTTTATTTTATGTGTATGAGTATATTGTCTGCAAGTGTGCAAATGCACCTGTGTCATGTAATACCCACAGGGGTCAGAAGAGGGTGTTGGATTGTCCCTGGAACTAGAATTATGACAGTTGTTAGCCACCATGTGGATGCTGGGAATAAAACCCAGGACCGCTGCAAGAGCAGCCAGTGCTTTTAACCACTGAGCTATCTCTCCAACCCCATTTACATTTCTTTATAAATTCAAAAAACTTTGGTGACAGGGAAACAGGGTTACTACAAATGTGATATATTTTCCCCCTATCTGTTTAGACTTGATTTAATTATGATAATATCAATATGATAATTCATTAAATTATATTAATATTACAGTTTACATTCACATCTTAGATAGATACATATAAATTAAATCTTCTGGGGGCTGTTAAGATGGTTCAGCAGTTAAGCTACCAGCTGCTCTTGCAGAGGACAAGTTAGTTCCCAGCATCCACATGGTGGCTGACAACCACCTCTAACTCCAATTTTAGAGGATTTGATGACCTCTTCTGGCCTCTGTAGGCACTGCACACATGTGGTGCACATACATACATACATGAAGGGAAACACTCATATACATAAATAAATCTTTGAATTAAATCTTGTAAGTAGACACAGCTATAAATCAAGTATAAACATATTTATTTTACTATTTCACTGAGATAAGATTTCACTATTTATCTGTTACCAAGGCTGGCTTCAAGCTCTCAAACATCCTGTCTCAGCTACCTGAGCACTGATATTATTTATAGGCATGGGCCATGATGCCTGGTTTATAGACATATTTAAAACATTACTAAAAAATACTTTGAAGGCTGGATAGATGACTCAGTGAATAAGAGGATTTCCTGTTCTTCCAGAGGACCTAAGTTTAGTTCCAGCACCCATATCGGGTGGCTCATAATCACCTGTAACTTCAGCTCTTGGGGATCAAACACCCTCTTCTACTCTCAGTAAATACTGAAACACGCGTGGCGCTTAAAGGAAAAGATGGACAGAAGACACCGCCTCTGTATCACCCACAAATGGGGTGGACACAACTATACAGGCACAGACATACACACACAATTAATTAAAATAAATTTAAAAATAGAATGGCCAGGCGTGGTGGTGCAGGCCTTTAATCCCAGCACTTGGGAGGCAGAGGCAGGTGGATCTTTGTGAGTTCCAGGCCAGCCTGTTCTACATAGTGAGTTCCAGGACAGCTGGGGATACAGGGAGACCCTGTGTCTTCTCAAAAAGACCAAAAAAAAAAAAAAAAGAAAAGAAAAGAAAAGAAAAGAGCCAGGCATGGTGACATCACGCACACCTTTGATCCCAGCACTCCAGGAGGCAGAGGCAGTCCAAACTCTGAATTCAAAGACATACGTACGTATGTACGTACATACATACATACATACATACATACACACACACACACATACAAGCATACACAAATAGAATTACAAGTTCAAAGCCAGCCTGGGAAACCAAGAAAGAGAATTTGTTTCATCTCAAAAACAAAACAGGGCCAATGTGATGACTCAGGGGGTTAAAGCACTTGCCACCAAGCCTGACAACCTGAATTTTGATCCCAGAGATTCACTTGGTGATGGGGGCCAGGGGAGAATACAAATGAATGTAATAAAAAGCAGAGCCTGGAGAGATGGCTCAGTGGTTAAGAGCACTTGCTATTCTGACAGAGGACCTAAGTTAGGTTCCCAGCACCCATATCAGGTGGCTCACAATAGCCTGTAACTCTAGCTCCAGGGGATCTGATGCCCTCTTCTGGCCTCTGAGGGCACCCACACTCTTGACTGCATAAACACACAAATACACATAATAAAAATAAAATCTGAGGCAGGGTGTGGTGGTGCACGCCTTTAATCCCAGCACTTGGGAGCCAGAGGCAGGTGGATCTCTGTGAGTTCAAGGCCAGCCTGGTCTACATAGTGAATTCCAGGACAGCTAGGGCTATAGAGAGACCCTGTCTCAAAAAGACACAAAAAAAAGTGTGGAGGGAACAACCACCACAACAAAAAAAACCTTGTGAAACTCTATGTAAAAGTGATTAAGAAATACTTTCTCAGAGAAGCAAAACTTGAGAACATGCTGTCAGTAGACTCATCCTGCAAGAAATGTCAACAGTTTTTCTTCAGTAAGAAGAATGTAATTGCTGGGCGTGGTGGTGCACGCCTTTAATCCAGCATTTAGGAGGCAGAGGCTGGCGGATCTCTGTGAGTTTGAAGCCAGTTTGGTCTCCATAGTGAATCCAGGACAGCTGGGGCGACAAGGAGACCCTGTTTCGAAAAGATCCCCCCCGCCAAAAAAAAAAGTATGTAATTCAGGGGCTAGAGAGATGCCTCAGCAGTTAAGAGCACTGACTGCTCCTGCAGAAGACCCGGGTTCAATTCCCAGCACCCACATGGAAGCTATAAACCGTCCTTAACTCCAGTTCCAGGGTAATCCAAAGTCCTCTTCTGACCTCCACAGCACTGCACAACACGGGTGCACTCACATACATGCAGGCAATACACTCATACACATAAAATAAAAATAATAAAATATTTTTTAAATAGATAAAAACAAAGAAGTATGTAATTCAGAATTCAGGTGTAGGGCAGGAATGTAGCTCAGTATAGTGCTTGCTAGCAGGCATGAAACCCTGTATTCGGTATTCAATCCCTAGCAACTTCATAAACTGGGTATGATGGTATATCCTTATAATCCCAATACTTGGGAGACAGAGGCAAGAGAATAAAAGTTTCAAGGTCATCCTTGGCCACACAGTGAGTTTGAGGCTAGCTTAGGATATATGAGAACCTATTTCAAAAAAATTAAAAATTTCAATCTATATAACAAAAGGAAGAAGACCAGGGGAATTAATAAATGAAGCTAGGGGCTGGGTGCAAGCCTTTAATCCCAGCATTCGGGAGGCAGAGGCAGGCTGATCTCTGTGAGTTCAAGGCCAGCCTATCTACATAGTGAGTTCCAGGACAGCTGGGACTACAGAGAGGCCCTGTTTCAAAAAAAGACAAATAAATAAATAAATACATACATAAATAAATGAAGATAAAATAATTAACATAACAGAATTTGTTCAAAATAATAGCAACAATGTATTTGATTTTATAGATAACTTTAAAAACAAAAGATGTCAGCTGTTATGAACTTGACTCATAAATTAATACAATCTTAACCAAAATCCCAGTAAGCTGAAGTTAGGAAGATGGCTCAATCACACACACACATACACACCAGCAAGTTATTTTATAGGGTAATTACAAATCAATTTTCAATTTTATATGGAGAGACAAAACACCCTAAACAGCCAACAAAGTATTAAAGAAGAATAAAAAGTTAGACAACTAACAACACTTTCCAACTTAAGACATTATAAAACTGTGGTAATTGCTGGGCGTGGTGGCACCCATCTTTAATCCTAGCACTTGGGAGGCAGAGGCAGGGGGATCTCTGTGAGTTCAAGGCCAGCCTGGTCTACATAG